GCCGATCTTAATTCCCAAGTCTGTCATTCTGGCGAGTGATGTGGATTCACTGCCACCAAAGTCCTCTATCCTTCCCATTTCTCTGAGGGCATTGATAATATCAGCATAATCCATAGGCCGACCATCGGTAGTGATAGCGGATCCAGCCAGCCTGTCAGCTCTTTCATTTCCATCGACGCCTGCGTGTCCCGGAACAAAAATAAAGGTGACTCCTCGCACAGTGGACTTCTGAATTGATTCAAGCCATTGTCTTCGCACTGAACCTGCCTGAACCCTCCGGATCATACTCATTGAATCACTGAGTATACATATGCGGGTGTATTTTTGTGTTTCAAGCCAGGCAAACGCTTGCGTCACTGCCATCACCTCCATCGTCATGCTGCTGGTTGTCATGGAGAAGGCGCCGTTGGCTTCTTTGACTGTTCTGCCCGCTGAGCGTGCTGTAAATGCCCATGCGCTTCTTCTTTGGCGTATAACGGATCCGTCTGTATAGATTAGTGCATCTGCTTCGTCTGAATTTTCACCGATGAGAGCGTTGACCTCTGCATTAACAGCAACAGGATTCTCTTCTCTACATCGCCTGTTGAGTGTGACAATACAGGAAAATGTACAAATAAACGCCTGAGGCACAGATATCCATTCTGCACCAGGTATGATGTCGGTTAGGCTGCATATTTGCCTAATGACATCTTCTGCCCGACCTAGCCATGATTTTCCCCTCTTCAGTCTGTCGCCCTTTTCACTAAAAAGTGCTTGATGCAGTGGGTGTTTCTTATCAGCACATATTTTGAGGTATGCCCGAGCCCTCCACATCCTGATCCTTTGGTTCATTGTTGGAAAGTCAAGTAGATACCTCATTGCTCCACAGGATGTGTCTCTTGTACATCCCAAAATAATACGCATGGCTTCATTTTGCACCTTCTCGAGTCGTTCAATCTGGGTAGCACTGACAGTGAGGATGGCCAGAGCGTATTCAATGGGGAAAGGACCAGACCGTAGAATAGAAGCACCAGCAGTCTTTGCTCGATATTGGAAGCAGCCATAATCCTCATTGCAGATAGACCTTTGCGTGCTTTTGTTATCGCATGGTCAACGTGTTCCCTGAATGACAAGCTGCGATCGAACATCACCCGAGAAACGTCATAACGTTGGTTCTGATCAATACATTATCACGCATTTTCACTTCTGGTAAGTCCGACTTGACAATGTGATTGTTCAAAGAGAACCATGACACTGCTGCCTTCGAGGGATTGACATAGGCATTGGAACCATCACACCAGGCGGCAATTCGATCGAGTTCTTTGTGCATTGTGCTGGCGATCTCCTGTCTATCACGCCCTCGTCGATAAATCAAAATGTCATCAGCAAATGACAAAGTCCTTCCCTTTCCATTCAACTGCTGCTCAGTGATCATCACCGTATAAACGTTGAATAAGACTGGTGATAGCGGTGAACCCTGTGGCAAGCCTGGACATATCGTTTGCGGTTCTGAGGACCAGCTACCACATCTTAGTGCAATCTTTCTCTGGAACAGGACCTCAGCAATCCAGCAGATCAGAACAGGATTGACTTCTAGTTTAAGCAGTAATTGCATTAAATAATTATATGGTACTTTATTGTAGGCATCTTCTAAGTCCAACACTGCCGCACATGTCTCTTCTTTAATCTGAAATCCCTCGTACACATCGTAGGCGAAAACAGCAGCATTGGACCATGTCTCTTTCTTCAATCTGTACCCTCCAAGTGTTGATGGGAACTTATCATGTAGTTCTAAGTAGGTGGTCAATCTTTGTGCGACAATTTTTTCCAAAAGTTTGCCAACAGTATTCTGCATCGAGATGATTCTGTAGCCGCAGATCTTTGAGTGGTCTTTATTAGGCTTTGGTAGTGGAAACAAATAACTATGGAGCCATTCCTCTTGTATCTGGCCACTCTGGATGCTGATATTGAATTCCTTTGCCACGCTTTTCAAATCAGCATTCGACATCATCAGCATGTCATTGTATCGGATGCCGTCAGGGCCTGGAGCAGTGCTGCGCGATTTCTTGAGGCAAGTTCTTAAGGTGTCTGCAGTGATTGTGAAATCAGTGCCTAGCTCAGTGTTCTCGCACAGCATCGACAGTTTCATCTTAACCCCTATTCTTGCAGCTTCGTCTTTTTGGTCAGTGTGCTCCAAGTAGCGCGCAAGAAGGGTTTTTCCTTTATCAGCATCAGTTCTCTGCCATATCAGGTCTGTACCCTGAAAATCAGGGATACCCCTTGGTCGTGCGGCGCCGTGCATGCTCCGTTGAAGGCGCCAGAATGTCACAAGAGATCCCTCGGAGCAAACGCTCTTGCAGAATTCGTTCCATTTCGCTGTCTTGGCTTCTTTCGCAATTAACTTGAAAGCCACTGTCCGCTTGTTGACCTCATCTTTCAGACACACAGACATAAACATACAAACACACAAGGAAGAAATCAACGCAAAGGGAAAGGATTAGCAAACATTCACCCAAAACAATTCTCTAAATTAGAAAGACTTCACCAAGCAGCAGAGTTGTATTAGTAAAAGTTGATATGCAACAGTTGCACTCTGCAAACAAGTCTCAATGATAAAGTCTAGTTCAACAAACACAAAACCACACACACACAAAATCTAAAACAAATGACAGTTCTAAATGCAAGTGCACTCAGCAAACAGGGCAGTTGCTTGAATCCAATGTGTATATTGCGAAAGACCAAATTCTCATTCTACACCAAGGAAACAATGTACCTGGTTGTACACTCGTTTCTGCAAGGTAGATGGGATATGTTGTTATGTTACACACACACTGCATTTTTCTCTGTATCTAGTTATTTTTTTAATTTTCATTCCCAGACAACACACATCATGTGTTATCATGTAAGTATCAAGCAATACCTGGTGCGGTATTACAGTGGTTACATTTGATTTGAGAATACAGAAAGATCTGGATAAGATATTTTAACTCTTTGAGTCCCAAAGAATGCATCATAAGTCATAGGTTCCTACCTAGAAACCCAATGAATGCAACATGTGCAAATTTTACTTGGGCCTCTGATGCTAAACCCCCTGGAACTAAAAGATTTAATATACGTTTCACATGTGTTTCTGAAATATTTTACATTCTGTTATCACTGTGGCAATGATATCACTTTGATATCTGCTGCCATCTCTCAAGGGACTGAAAGCATGATGACTGGATGAGATCTTTACAACTATTAACTTTTTCATTTTTTTTTTTAACCTCAAGAATGTACTGCTAAAATTTGAAGGGTCTATATCTAAAACGGTTCAAATAATACCATTATGGGACAAAAAAATTTGAGGTAACAATTGGGATGGAATGATGTAGTAATTTTGACATTTACAAACATATCCTGTTTAACCCTTAAGGTTATAAATGTAATATACATTGCTCATTTACTTTATAGAATATATTTTGCTTTCATATAACATGATTATTTCATTCAGATATTTATGCAATTTGTACTATGATCTGAAATACTGTCAACAGACAGAATGAATGGATAGAATGGTTAATATTACAGACTTCATGTACATCTCTCCCCGACACCGCTGAGGTACAAGGTGGAAGAGAAGAGGTAGAAGAAGAAGAAGAAGATGTAAGGAGGTCCTAATAAAAGCAGAGTTCCCTGTGTGGTACTGAAAAAGTTCAGCTGTTGCACATGTCTATCCTTCCATCTTTGTTGCTCATTGATTCATTTCTGGTTGAGAGTGTAGTCGATGTTTAAAATATGTCAGCAACTGCTGTTGGGGGATGGAAGGTTATCTTCTTATTTTTCTTCACTTGCTCCAGTTACTTAATCAAAGTGGTAGTGGGAGATGTGAGGATCTTTGGTGTTCTCTTTCCAATGTGTTGTATAAGTTGGGCTTCATTTCCTTAAGGCTGCCTTTGATGCAATTGCTCCATATTCTGTGTGGTCTTCCCCTTTCTCTGTGTCCAGTGTATTTCTTCAGGGCCCTCTGTGGCAGTTGGTACTAGGGTATTCTTATCAATGGCCAAACCATCTCACCTGTTGCTCTTTAATAAACTGTATGACTGGTTTTAGGCCCTGTCTTCTTCTAATTTATTTAATTTTATTTCTGAGGAGCAGCTGGTTGAACAGTTAGAACGCTGGGCTCTCATGCGGGGGACCCGGGTTAGAATCTTCGGTAAGGCTGGGGAATTTTTCTTAGGCAATGGCCTGTAGCCACAGAACTGTTGGTGCCTTATGTGATTCAAATTAATCGCGTGTGCAACTGCTGATCTGTTTGTAACTGTTGTTTCCATTGATGATGAGCTGCATTTATAATTATAATGCTGGACTATTTGTGTTAGCATCTCTGATAGTTGCCTTATGCTTTTAATGTGTGTGTATTCTAGTGGATTTGCTGAGACTATAGTCTGTGTCAAATTAGTGTGTGTGTGTACACTGGACAGTGATGGACACTGTGTTTTTCGGTGGCACAAGAGCAGAGCAACCATGGGGTGACCATTTGCTATGAAGCTAAAACTAAGATTAGCAGACATCATTTGAGTTAGCAAGAGAAACTACAGACTGAAACTGAAAGAGTTAAAAATAAGCTTTTACAGAAAAAAAAGTCCACTCCCAAAGCTGCCAGATCATTTCACAAAGCAAAATCAAGCCATCAGGAGGCATTCACGGAGGGGGCGAAAAAAGAAGTTAGAAGTGTCAAAATTCTTGCTGACGAGGAAACATGAAGGGATAGTGGGTTTCTTTTCAGACGGTTAAAAAAAAAAAAAAAAAGAGAGAAATGGGATGGAGGGAGGAGAAAAGTAGGAAAGCTGGGAATAATTTGTTATTAAAAAGTTCAAAGCAAATAAGTTTTGATGCATTGTAGTTATTGTTACTGCCTTTTATTTGGGTTGGCATTTGTAGGGCACGCTTGCAGCAAAAGCTACGCAAATAAAAATGAGTTGCCAGGAAAGAAAGCCTGCTGGTTGTTTAGATAAGCGTAACCAATTCTAAATACTCACGCTGACTTCTCCATAGATGATGTCAATGAAGCTGCCCAGGACAATGATGAAATCAAACACGTTCCATGCATCCCCAAAGTAGTTCTGCAGAGACATTACATTTATGTCTTCAAAAAAATTTTACAACTGATCATTATTTTAAAATTAGTTATTTTACTTATTTTTTTGTCTCCTTTGTCGGCTAGTGTGGTGAACTAAAGTTGAAACTAGAGTGATCACGGGCTCTGGCCGATGCTCAACACTCAAGGGAAAGGCTAAACAAAAATACAATCAGACTATTACTGGGGTTATCGGAATTGGAACTCTGAGCTTGCTGCTTAAGATGGGGATACAGCGCTTATAGGAATGTCCTGAGTTCTGTGATGTTGAATCTCAATTCAACATTCAGCTAAATTCTGAATCCCTATCAGAGCAAATTTTTGAACTTACCTGGGCTTCTAAGTTGACCCAGTCAACAATGCACATTAAACAAAAAATTATGGGAAATAAAGGCAGCCCACATCATCCCACAGAGTACAATTTCTTCTGCTTCTTCTTGCATTTAGCAACTGTAAATTCTGAAGATATATTGTAACTTGTTCTTAGTGTTGTTCGAAAAATTGAGTTGCGTGTGCATCAACTGTTACAGATGTGGCATTTGTATGTAGAATGTAGGATCCTTACCTCGCAGGTAGATACACTCCAACTTCAAAGGAAACACCCCTAATTAGTTGCCTTCTATGACTTGGGGGGGGGGGGGGGAGAGGGTCTATTCTTTTTCCCCCACAAAATGGGTCCTTGGAGCCCACAAAGGGAGTTCAATTTGATGTATACAGTTTGGGCAAACGCCATATGTTCATGCTTCAATGTGGACAAGTATCTTCTCCACTTCTTTCTTCTGGTAATGGTGTTTCTTTTTTAATGTCTCTTTCTAATCTTGTAGCTTCCCCTTCTTCTGCTGTTGCTTCTCCCCTTTCTTCTACCTACTCATCTTCTTCCATTTTCTTCACTGCTGCTTCTCCTAATTAATTGTTCTGTTCTGCTGCATATTCTTCTTGCATTGATACTTTTCTTCCTCTGCTTCTACTGATGTGTTTCCTCATCCTCTTCTATTTCTTCTTCTACTGATCCTTCTCCTCCTTCCTCATCCTCTTCTCCTCCTACTGCTGCTTCTCCTTCCAAAGTTATCACAAACTTGCCAGAACGGTGAGAGTTCCTTCCCCTCCCATTCATACAGCAGCCAGTCCCACAGCCTGTCCTATGCTGTGGGGGTGTCATGTATTCCTTATTTTTCAACAGTTTCACTGTTCTCTCTTTTCTCGTGTTGTCGCCGCTCACTTGCCTGATTATTTCTACATTGTGCTACTTGCCCAATGGTTCGTTAGTATCAAAACTGCAATGTTTTTGTATTTCTTCATAACTTGTCAGTGGCTTCTTTTCTGGGGGGGGGCTGGGGGGATACTTACGAACATTCGTGCCTTCAGGGCTTCCTCCTGCAGTACTTTTTATTAGTTCACAGGCACAGGCATCAGCATCGCCTCAAAGAGACTCATGACAACACAACCTCCCACAAACACTGTATAGAGCAAGCGAACACTAAACGAAGTCATCTCATAACACCCAACAACATAGGACAGGCCTTGGAACCGGCCGCGGCATGAATGGAAGGGAAAGGAACTCTCTGCATGTGGGCAAGTTCATGATAAGTTCCTCTCCTTTTTCTTCTGCTCCTTCATTATTTCCTTTCCCACGGCTTCTTCTTTACCTTCTGTACTCAGGGCTCTGTTTATACAGTGTGTGGACTCCATTAACTAGGATCGAGTTGCTCTTCCTCTCTGGGTAATAACAACCCAGGAACATCTGTCTCAACTACCAACTACATCTTGCATCTGCCATCTACATCTAGCAACTCAGATTTCTGCACCCTGGAAATTGTGATGTTCACCAATATTTTTTTCAACGTGCACATGAGCTTCTTCTTCTTCTTTTCTTTTTTTCTATGTTCTCTCTTTAAAGGTTAGTTGACTTGTTTCACTGTAATTTATAACTAAACTATGATATCTGCTGAAATTTAGATTAAAAAAAAAAAGCATTCCCATTCAGGAAGTTAGTAGGTTTTCATGGCTCCTAAATACCACATACTGTGAAACTTACCTTAAATCTAAATGCTGCAAGTTTGAGGACAAACTCTAAGGCAAACACACCAGTGAAGACAATATTCAGATGGTCCAAGGCACCTGAGTAGCTGAGACTTTCTCCAGCATACTGGTATTTTGAAAGTATTGGGAGGAGGGGGAAACAAAAATATAGAATATATAATTCTGTTTGTACAAGAAACGAACACAAGACATGATTCTGTCTGCATCTGTAGTATAACCATTGTCCCCTCTCTGTCACTAAACCAAACAGAAAATATTATGTCTTTTTGTATCAGAAATAGAAAAAAATATAATTCTCTCCATCTGTATCAATAAAAGAAATAGGATATATGGTTCTGTCTGTGTGTATAAATAATAGAAATAGAACACATAGCTGTCTGTCTGCATCAGTAACATAAATAGAATATTTAGTGCACTGTGCCTGTAACAATAACAGATGTTAGAATACACTATAGTGTCTATCTTTATCTTTAACATAAATAGAATACATGGTTGTCTGTCTGTATCATTAAGAGAAATAGAATACATGGTTGTCTGTCTGTATCATTAAGAGAAATAGAATACATGGTTGTCTGTCTGTATCATTAAGAGAAATAGAATACATGGTTGTCTGTCTGTATCATTAAGAGAAATAGAATACATGGTTGTCTGTCTGTATCATTAAGAGAAATAGAATACATGGTTGTCTGTATCATTACCAGAAATAGAATACATGGTTGTCTGTATCATTAAGAGAAATAGAATACATGGTTGTCTGTCGTTGAAATAGAATACATGGTTATCTGTATCCGTTACCAGAAATAGAATACATGGTTGTCTGTAGTTACCAGAAATAGAATACATGGTTGTCTGTATCATTACCAGAAATAGAATACATGGTTGTCTGTATCATTACCAAAAATAGAATACATGGTTGTCTGTATCATTACCAGAAATAGAATACATGGTTGTCTGTATCATTACCAGAAATAGAATACATGGTTGTCTGTATCATTACCAGAAATAGAATACATGGTTGTCTGTATCATTACCAGAAATAGAATACATGGTTGTCTGTATCATTACCAGAAATAGAATACATGGTTGTCTGTATCATTACCAGAAATAGAATACATGGTTGTCTGTATCATTACCAGAAATAGAATACATGGTTGTCTGTATCATTACCAGAAATAGAATACATGGTTGTCTGTATCATTACCAGAAATAGAATACATGGTTGTCTGTATCATTACCAGAAATAGAATACATGGTTGTCTGTATCATTACCAGAAATAGAATACATGATTGTCTGTATCATTAAGAGAAATAGAATACATGGTTGTCTGTTTCAGTAAAATAAATAGAATACATGGCTGTCTGTATCATTACCAGAAATAGAATACATGGTTGTCTGTATCATTACCAGAAATAGAATACATGGTTGTCTGTATCATTACCAGAAATAGAATACATGGCTGTCTGTATCATTACCAGAAATAGAATACATGGTTGTCTGTTTCAGTAAAATAAATAGAATACATGGTTGTCTGTTTCAGTAAAAGAAATAGAATAAATGGTTGTCTGTATCAGTAAAATAAATAGAATACACGGTTGTCTGTCTGTTTCAGTAAAATAAATAGAATACATGGTTGTCTGGATGTATCAGTAACAGAAATAGAATACACGGTTGTCTGTCTGTATCAGTAAAATAAATAGAATACACGGTTGTCTGTCTGTATCAGTAACAGAAAAAGAATACATGGCTGTCTGCCTGTTTCAATAACAGAAATAAAATATTGTGTGCACTGTGCCAGTAACAGTAACAGCCATTAGATACACTGTTGCATCTGTCTGTATTGTTAACAGAAATAGAATAAATGGTTCAGTCTAACCACTTCCTTGAAAAATAAAACTAAAATGAACTCGTTCAGTACTGGAGGACTTGGTTAGAGATGCATATGGCATTCGCACCACAAATAAAACAGCATGTGTCTGTAACTTCCAGAGGGATAGCATTTACACTGGTATATGTCTGGCCAGGTTTCTGCAGTATGCACAGTCAAAATGTGAACCACACAATAATACACCATGCATCAATGGAGACATTGATGTAATAGCTAAACATACAGGGTGCATTGCTGGGGACAGATTGTGTTACAGGACTCTTTTTCACATCATTTGGGTCCCGGACATACAACAGGTAAAGGCAAAGTAAAGGACCTTTTTCACATCATTTGGGCACCAAACATACAACAGGTAAAAGCAAATTGAAGGACCCTTTTTTCACACCATTTGGGCACCAAACATACAACAGGTAAAGGCAAAGTAAAGGACATTTTTCACACCATTTGGGCACCGAACATACAACAGGTAAAGGCAAATTAAAGGACCCTTTTTTCACACAATTTAGGTACCAAACATACAACAGGTAAAAGCTAATTGAAGGACCCTTTTTTCACACCATTTGGACACCGAACATACAACAGGTAAAAGCAGTTTAAGGACTTTTTTTCCACACCATTTGGGAACCAAACATACAATAGGTAAAAGCAATTTAAGGACTTTTGTTCCACTCCATTTGGGAACCAAACACACAATAGGTAAAAGCAAAGTAAAGGACTTTTCTTCTGGCCAGTGAGGCAGTGTGTATGTGTATATATAGTGCTAGATCTATACGATTATAGACAAATCGGCCCTTGATAGGTTGTGATGTGGTCATCGCCATGCCAGTAACCTTTACTTCCCAAGTCATTTAATGTCTTCATTATAGGCTGGATCAACCTGGGCGCCCATGTGCCTAGATAGAGATTAAAATCCTTAATCTCTGGGCCAGAGATTAAAATCCTTAATCTCTGGGCCAGCAGAAAGCACATAACTCCTACTTTACCAAATCTGCCTCGTGGAAAACTGTTAAATCTAAATCAAATTAATACTTTCATTTCCCCAAGGTCCTAGTTAATGTCACTAGTTAAAAATGGCAATAATAAACTCCATAATGGCAATAGTAAACTTATGGGTATACTACCTCCAGAGGGGCTCAATATACAACCCTTGCAGGAAACAAATATGTTTTCAGAGCTCTATCAGAGTTGGTCATTAAATATAAGATGCAAAAACATACATAAAATGTTGTCTCGTACATGTAAATAATAGCCCAATCATGCATACATAGTGCTAAGCTTTTTTTGTTTGTTTTTTAAAACAGAAGAGTTAATAATTTATTCCAATTACCCGCATAGCCAGAGCCACGGTGTTGATCATGATGAGCACAAAGATGGCATACTCAAACGCCTGAGATGTCACAAACCACCAGACTTTGTACTGCCAGCGGGCCTTGGGGATGTAACGCCGTACAGGTTTCACTTTCAAGGCAAACTCAATGCACTTTCTCTGTAAGTGATAAACAGATCAAGCTGTGACTCATCTCTCATATAATCAGCCATGTCTCATCACACATTTATCAGCCATGTATCATCACACATATAATCAGCCATGACATGTCTTATATAATTAGCCATGACTCTTTTCTCATATAATCAGCCATGACTCTTCTCTCAAATAATCAGCCATGACATCTCTTAAATAATCAGCCATGACTATTCTCTCATATAATCAGCCATGTCTCATCACTCATTTAATCAGCCATATCTAATTACTCATATAATCAGCCATGTCTCATCACTCATATAATTAGCCATGCCTCATCACTCATATAATCAGCCATGACTCATCACTCATATAATCAGCCATGTCTCATCACTCATATAATCAGCCATGACTCATCACTCATATAATCAGCCATGTCTCATCACTCATATAATCAGCCATGCCTCATCACTCATATAATTAGCCATGCCTCATCACTCATATAATCAGCCATGACTCTTCTCTCATATAATCAGTCAAGACTCTTCTCTCACATAATCAGCCATGACTCTTCTCTCATATAATCAGCCATGACTCTTCTCTCATATAATCAGCCATGACTCTTCTCTCATATAATCAGCCATGACTCTTCTCTCATATAATCAGCCATGACTCATCACTCATATAATCAGCCATGTCTCATCACTCATTTAATCAGCCATGTCTCATCACTCATATAATCAGCCATGACTCATCACTCATATAATCAGCCATGTTTCATCACTCATTTAATCAGCCATGTCTCATCACTCATATAATCAGCCATGTCTCATCACTCATTTAATCAGCCATGTCTCATCACTCATATAATCAGCCATGTCTCATCACTCATATAATCAGCCATGTCTCATCACTCATTTAATCAGCCATGTCTCATCACTCATATAATCAGCCATGTCTCATCACTCATTTAATCAGCCATGTCTAATTACTCATACAATCAGCCATGTCTCATCACTCATACAATCAGCCATGTCTCATCACTCATATAATCAGCCATGTCTCATCACTCATATAATCAGCCATGTCTCATCACTCATACAATCAGCCAGGTCTCATTACTCATATAATCAGCCATGACTATTCTCTCAAAGACCTTATATATATATATTTTAAACAAGTGTGTCTTATACTCAGGGAAATACGGTAATCAGCTGTCAATTTTCTCTACATAAAGAATAAAATAAAGTCAAGAAGCCATATTCACGCCTTCAGGCATATTAGGAATACTACTAGGCTGGACCTATGTTTCACAGACTAACTGAAACTAGGTCGGCGATTTGGTCAATATCAAGCCGTCCGTCTTTACTTCCCAGGGCGATACCTGGTACCCGCTAAAGGCTGGGTCATCCTGGGAGCCAAGGTTACTTTGAAAAAACATCAACTGGACCTGAAGACACAACCTTCTGATCCGCAGGTGAGCGTCTAGCTGCTACACCAATGTGACTCACCTACAAGAAGAGACAGGGTCACAAATACCAGCATTAGAGAGAAGGTTGTTTCACAATGGAAGATAGAGAATGAAGTGGTTTCACCGTCTAGTAAGTTCAGCAAATAAGACCAGTCTGTATATAATACTTCTAAAGCAGAACATCTGTATGGAGAGTGAGCAGAACACCAAGGAAGATGTGGAAAGACAGGATAGCAGAATCCTGCAGAAAAATAAATGAATCTCTTACTCAGGCCACCTGGGAGGGG